TTTAATCTTGATTTGAAGTGTGACAGAATTGTTCCGGGTTGTCCTGTTTATATATTCTGTCACACTCCAAATCAAGATTAAATAGCCACAATTTAGAATATCTCGCCCTCCCCCCGTGCTCACTCCTAGTTGTAACTTCGCCCGATGAAGAACGAGATCTCGAAAGCTCGCGGTATATTTGTATTGAAGAAAATTATTGCGTGTGTGACAATTGACAATTAAAAATTATTTATTGTCTTCTAGACAATGTTACACAAATTCAATCAAAGAGAGAGAGAGAGAGAGAGAGAGAAATATATTACATAGAGGAAGAAGAAGATATAAACATATATGATACAAAAAATTACAAGATGATGATGGGGGATGAAGGAAGGAAACCTCGACGCTGGAGGGTCCTGGACCAGGCGATGAGCGGGTCCTCCACTGCTCCTCCGAGCCCAACCGAACCCAATTATTGCGTGTGTGAGTGTGTGTGCAAGGTTTTTAAATATTTTTCATAAAAGTTGATCGCAATTTTCTTATATAAGAAATAGGCCTACTACAAAAATATAAAAAGGAAATTTTGAATAATCAGCTCGTGCCAAATATTGAGTCTAGAATACTTGTGCTGGATGCGCAGTTCAGATGCGCTGGAGCTCTTGATTTGCTTATAATCCGCCATGAAATTTCAATAATTTGAAGGTTTGGTTAAAAGGTCTTTGTATACGTATTTTCATATATATCGGACAACTCCTTTTTGGTGCATCGATTATTTTTGTTATTGAGTGTATTAATTCTCTTCAGAAAGCATTCTTACTGTTAAATGTCTAGAAGTCTAATTTTATAGATATTTTCTCAAACAATGTTTGTCTAAGGTCGATCTAGGCGAGAGGCATCTTCGACATGTTCTAATCCCGCTCTGAATTTTTAATATCAATGGAACATAATAGAAATAATGCAGTGTCATCGTGAGTAAGCAAGAAGAAATAATATCTAATGATAAACATATAATAAAAAAATATCTAATAAAAATTATCATTATAATCGTGAGAGAGAAAGTAAAAGAATGATTTAGGTGTTGCAACAACTAATGCATCTGATTATACAGAACAGAAGAAGTAAATATATAGATACAAAAAAGCTAAAAATAGGTAAGTAAATTGAATTCAAAAGCTTTTACGGAAAACGCTTTGTGTTAAAAATACACAAAAAAGATAAATAATACTTTCAGAAACCACTATTAAATAATTAGATTTATATATCTAAAATTGAAAGTAGAACGAGCGTTTATCCTGAGTTCCGAACTTAATGCGAAGGCTAGTAAGTTTTGTTTTACACATTTTAAAAAAAATCTATTTATGCAATATATGGCGATATCTTCCTCCTCTTTTAGTTTATTTTAATTTTATTTTTAACTGTTTATGGGTGGTATAGCCCGAGAGATTTGTAAGCATTATTTACACCTTTCAGCGCATTTTAAAATAAAACTGTGAATGTGAACAATTAAGGTAAAAATTGTGAAAATTTATAAAACGGGTAGTTAAGGCCAGAATTGCGTAATAACGGCAAACAATGTGAAAAAATAGTTTAAAAAAAATAATTGAATTTTACTGGGTTCAGGTGAATAAATGAAGAAAAAGGCATTTCCTGATGATGCAACTAAAAGTTGCTGATAGCTTGCACCATCTGTTGGAATAAATATAAACTATTCGTTGATTTTTAATTATTCAAGAATTGACTGAATACCCATTTGTGATTAATCAATAAAAGCTAACCACGTAGGCGTTTCAGGTCAGCGTGGTGATATACAAGGTATGTCCCATAAGTTCCCGGACTGGGTCCATAAAAAAAAGGAAAGATATTTTTTTAAAAATGTATTTAAACTTTTCAAAGTAATCCCCTCTTGCTTCAACGCACCAGCGCCATCGTTTCTCCCAATTGTCTAAACAGTTTTTATAGTCCTCTTTTGGAATGCTCTTCAATGCTAACGGCGATTTTTCTATTATGTCATCCCTGGTGTCAAAATGTCTTCCTTTTAGAACTGCTTTAAGTTTGGGGAACAGAAAAAAGTCATTTGGTGCGATGTCTGGGGAATAGGGTGGTTGAGGTAGGATTTGTGTCCCGCTTTTCGCCAAAAAGCTCGTCATCAAGTGCGCTGTGTGAGGGCGGGCATTGTCATGGTGTAGGATCCAGTCACCATTAGTCCATTTTTCTGGCCTTTTTTTTCGAATCGCTTCCCTTAGACGGCGAAGAATGCCCAAATACATTTCCTTAATACCTGTTTGGCCTGCAGGAAGATACTCGTGATGAACAATGCCCTTGTAATCCAAAAAAGCGACCAGCAACACCTTGTTTCTGGATTTCAAAATATCCTGGATTTTTTGGGTCTAGGCTCACCCTGACCTCTCCACTCGGCAGATTGACGCTTGGTTTCAGGGTCATAGCCATAGACCCATGTCTCGTCGCCTGTGATTATTTTGTCTTTCCATTCCGGATCCGTTCTTATCATTTCCAACATGTCCTCACAGGTTGCAAGCCGACACAGATTTTGCTCATTAGTGAGGAATTTTGGAATGAATTTTGCAGGAGTCTTTTTGAGCTTCAAATCTTAGGTTACGATCCTTCCAATCGTTGTTTTAGAGATGCCTGTGCCTTGCTCTAGCTCCAGCAAAGTGGTTCGAGGATTTTCTTTTATCAAATCGGTGTTTTTTTGCACATTTTCATCAGTCCTTTGAAATTTTGGGCGTCCTTGACGAAGATCATCTTCAATGGAAATTCTGCCAGCTTTAAATCTAGAATGCCATTCAAAAACAGTTGATCTACTTGGGGCGTCATTGGGAAATTCTTTATTAAGCATTTAAATACTTTCGGTGCTGATATTTGAATTTTCGCACAAAATTCTATGCAAATCCTCTGCTTCAATTTTTGTTCCATCGTAAAATCGCCGCAGCGCTAGGTGTGACCTTTAAATAAATTAGAATGACCTTGGCGCGCACGCATGTACCGCCTCGATATTGGCACCACCGTGTTGCCAGATATTTTTTCTATAATAAAAAGTCAAATTTATTTACATTTTTCATTTATTTATTTTTTTATGGACCCAGTCCGGGAACTTATGGGACATACCTTGTATATATCTTGTCCTCATCTCACCGCTATAAAGAGAGTTTCACTAGGGTGATAAACGTAATGTATTGTTCTAATGCATACATAGAGAGATTTTTTTTGGTATAGGAATACCATCTTCCCGAAAATTTATGTTTTATCCTAGCCTGGAAATCGGTCCCTGCCACTTTACCAGCTTAAGGACTTTTTGGTGACTTCCACCGATTTTCATAACTCCACTTGTAAGATGTTAAGTAATTGAAGCCGTACTTGTACGGATGAGGGTCAGTGCTCAAAATCATGGTATACAGGTTGGCCCTCTGTCTGAATTTTCCAAAATTTTTAATGGTCGAATTATTCAAAATGATCCAAAAATAATCGTTTGATATAATTGCATCTTCTTCTTCTTCTTTCTTATCTCCACACTGGGTGAAGTAGATTGCGTCTGCCTTTGTCATTAAGACTGGGAGCACTATATAATTGCATTGTCATCGTAAGTGATCATTTGGAAAAGTTAAATAATGATAGCACACAAATAAATCCTAATGGAATTTTTAATATAATCACATTTAAAAATAATAGAATAAAAGAGGGGATTCAACGCTGATCATATATATATATTATATAATCTAAAAACTAAAAATATTTCTATATTTTAAAAGATAAATATTTTATTTTTATTCATTGATATTTATACTTCTATCGTTTTTAGAATGACTCTCAGGTTTGTTGTAAATATGCGTAATTTACATATCTATCTTTTTGAAATACTAATATAGGATTAACTTCATAAATTCTATATAATTGTGAAAATAACTAATGTGTAAAATTTCCTCAAGTAATTGAAAATAAAAGCTACTTGATGGTAAATAATTATCTTTTTTTAAAATCACGATTGCACCATCAACCCTTTATCTAATCAATCCTTTATCTAACAACAAACAAATTATTCATAATATATATCGAAGAATTCAGTTAACTTAATAACTAATTATGCCGTTTTTTGTATTAATTCGCATTAATTGGAGTTTTTAAAATCGGAATAAATATCTAATTTCATCCATACATTGCTATTTAGGTTTATTAAGGAAAAACTTCAATATGGCTCGAAATTCGCTGTCGTTCTTGATCTGTACGTTGGAAGGAATAATGTTCAAGTATATATATATCTGGAATACAAGTGTACATGCCCATTTCTCCTCCTATTCGCTTATAAGTTTCTCTAAATATATAGCACTTCATAAAAGACTAAAAAATCTCGATCCTATTAGAAACTTTATATACCGCTCGTTTTAAATTAGTAAAAAAACATTTGAGAGAATAAAACAATACTTTCAAACTCTGAATTAATTTGACGCGCTTTTCTCCAATGAGAAGGAGCGTCAGTATTTAGGCAGAATTACTCGGCGCTGAGAAGAGTCTAAGCAGAAAGAATGCCCAGATTAAAGGAAGATGGATGGCCCCAGTAGCCTGAACATCCCTTTTAACTTAAGCAGCTCTGCTTTTATTTCATTCCATTCCAGGAGATCCACTTCTCGATTAGCGGTCAGTTGGGAAGAGAACAATTCCCATTTTTATTTTATTAGGATTTAACGGGAAACCTTCGCTAGTTCTGAGGTTAGAAGACTAGAGAGAGTGGCATCAAATATTTAAACTTTAGTTTAGAATCCTACTGTGGAAAAAATACATTGAGATAGCAATTAAATGACTTCATTATGAAATCTATTAGCCTAATGTAGTTGATATAGCCAGCTTAAACTATTTTTATTATAAAACGAAAATTAAAATTATACCGCGAATGTTTCTTTTAAAAATCGAAATTTATTTTCAAAGGGAAATAGCGACATTTCTAACTTTGAAGATGAGGTATGGAAAGGTGAAACATGAAGAGTAATAAAGAACGGAAAAATAAAAAGTGTCCAGGGGCGGGAATCGAACCCACACCCTTCTGCTTACCGGGCAGGTGCCTTGTCCACACCGTGGCACCTGCCCGGTAAGCAGAAGGGTGTGGGTTCGATTCTCGCCCCTGGACACTTTTTATTTTTCCGTTCTCTATTACTCTTCATGTTTCACCTTTCCATACCTCATCTTCAAAGTTAGAAATGTCGCTATTTCTCTTTGAAAATAAATTTCGATTTTTAAAAGAAACATTCGCGGTATAATTTTAATTTTCGTTTTACAATCATCAGCCGCGTTATATTGTATTTTAAAATATTTTTATTATGATAATTAATAAATTTTAAAGATTATATATATATAATATACGTTTTTTATTTTTTGAAATGATCAATGAATAAAAATGAAATCAAATTATAAATAAACTGATGCTTACGATCTTTCTTTACTACTGGTTATAAAAGTTAATTGTATTTTTAAAACAGCTTTTAGAATGTGATGTGTGTTATTTTCGGTATAACTGATGGAATAACCAAAATGGTGAATTTCAAATAGAAAGAAGAGTAATTATTTTGGAATGTCAGTTGACCTTCAGAGATTCCTATCGGTATAATCCTTGGTTAAATCAGGTGTAAATTATGTGCAAGCGGGTTTCAGTGGACGAAAATATCTGTGGGAATTGTGAGAGTGACTGGTGAGCTAGGTAGTGCAGGCTATCGAATATCTTTCAATATCATTTTGACCCGACCTATTTGTATCTTTGATAATTTAAGCTTTTTTTTAATATTCATATATTTGAAAAAGGAAGACATAGTAATACAAATATTTACAATTGATGAAATAATGATTGAGCAGTATCAATCATCACTTTTGATGATATTTCAAGGCTTAGGGATCATAGGAAAGCTTGAAAATCCCCTCAGTCTTGCATTCCTCTGTAGATTAAGGTGAGGGATGGGGAAGATGGTACTATGGAAGTACCGGGTTCGATTGAAAGGAATATCCTGATATTCAAGGTTTCAAAAATTTGTATTGATATGTTATAAACATGTTTTTAGAGAAAGGAGAGATAAGAATATGGTCTACGTGGACATAGCTCGATGAACAACTTGATATTCCGTTTGTGTAAATTTCTTTCGAGTTATTCCCGTAGGCATTCATAATAATATTCGAAAATAGGCTTTCGATTTTGCACTCATAGTACCTATCTTATAGGATGATATATTCATATTTTAACGAAAATATTTTTCATGTGTAAAAAGATAATAATACTTCTCTCACACAGAGTTCCAAATCATAGCCGTTTCTGGACAGTATTAGGTTATAATATGAAACCACGGAAAACTCCTTATCTTTCCTAAAATTTACCAATTTTGATGTTTTCAACAAATTGAATCTGTATGCTCACTCGGCATGAAGATATAGCGTTTCAATGCACTTACAATCAAAGAGCAACTGTTTTTCTCTTTCTTTCGGCCGTGCGGTCACGCGGTGCGCGTTATCGGTCTTTTCGGCGATGGAAAGCGGTAAAATACCTACATTAAATCCTTTGAAATTTTGGAGAATGGACCTGTCAATAAGAAAAATAATGGAATGAATTTTTCAAAGATAGAAGGTATTGAATGAAAAAGAATCTCCAATGGAAGTTTCTATTTTACATGATCAACAATCGACCTAAGAAAATGTGAATTAAATTGCATCGGCAAATAGAGATGCAAATTGGGCAGACCGAGTCGAAGTTTTCGAGAAGGTATTTATATCTCAAGGTTGGCAGAACTCAAGGTTTCAAAAAGAAACCTCTAAGTCTCACATTCAACCAGCAAAGCTTACGAAGGCGGAATCCATCGCAGCCAGGCCACCTTATCAACTGATATGGCAAAAAGTAACTCTGTTACGGCGATTAGAAGCAGCAGACGGCCGTAGGAACTCGCCAGGGTTAGGTCGGCAGCTACAACATTCGACCAGTTCTGTTTCGTCGAGGGGAGCGCGGACTTCGATCCAGTCAAATACATGATGGCGCTGGAAAAGATGCTGGGAAAGTCAGACTAGCAGATGAAGATGTCCGGTCAGGTATTATTCGGTCTGGCCAGCGTCGACTTGGCGGAGCGCTTGGTTGAGGAGGTTCTCACCATCAGATCAACCTTCCTGAAAGCCTTTCCATATAGGCAAAGAGCAAAAAATATAGTGAGAAATCTCTCATTTGCCATTAAAAGGATGAAGACGTCGTCACGGCGCTACGGCCCTACTTCAGGGTTGTCTCCCTGACCCACGAAACTGTGTCCAGTGGCCGTTACACTTGGACCACCGGCAAAAGGGAGACATTCGTCTTTATGCATGAAGGACGGAAACTTCACCGGCTAACTTTCGAGCTGGTAATCATATCTAATGGTCTCCTCGAAGACCTTGGCGAGCTCACAGGGCACGTTATCCTGACAGCTTCCCCATGGTAGACGGCTGATGGCAGTTTCCACCTTACTCAAAGAGATATCTTCTCAATGAAAGCGGATCACTGTTCTCTAGAGTGATGCCCTTCGTAGCTCCCTTCAGGAACCCATTGATTCTTTCGGGGCTGCAGAAGTTGAAAACGGTGCGCCTCAGGTTTTCTACCTCGACGGGGTTCCTCTGAGCGTTGGAAACGGTCGACGCTCCTGAGCGATATAGTGGGACCCGCAAAGCGCGTCCAATCTCAAGTAGCCAATAATAGTCTGCATCTAAAGTCTCGGCCTCGAGTCTGAAGCAGAGGAACAGGCTTGCTCTGGCGATTTAGATTTGGCCTCAGCGCGTGAAATGGAAGAATTATCATGAATTTAACCAATTTCCTCTTCAGTTTTACCCATTCTCTACTGCTATCTCAAGGGATGCCTCCAATCTTCAGCGAATTTCGCCATTAAACGCCTCAACTCTCTAGATGACTGGTGAAGAAGCGCTGAGATTAATTGCGCAGATGATGAAGGAATACCTCCCACTTTAAAAAAGGATGGCACGGTGGTCCGAAAAGTGGTTTTGAGTGTCCAGTAACCTGTGACGCGTCCGGAGAGTCTTGACGGTATTAGAACTCGATCCAGACGGGAAGCGTCTACCCGACTTCCATAACTGGGAACCCTCGTAGGCAGGTCGGCGGCTTCAACGATGAAGACGGTGTCGACGAAAGTGGTCCGGTCCAGAAGATCAACAAAGTCTTTAACGGCTTCAGACCCGATGTCGCTCGATAGCTTTCGGTGATGTAAAATTCCCGATGGACCCACTCATCTTCCCTGATGACTTCCTCTGCGATGACCTTCAGTTGGAGATGCCGTTATTCAGGAGTGTGGGATAGGTGGATGTTGGTGACGCCTGTCTCGAGACCCTGAATGTTGATGCTGGCGATGGTGATTTTGCCTGGCCACAAGACACAGTGTGAGAGGATGGTAACTTCCATTGCTACGATGACGGCGAGGCCGGATCTCCTGGAAGCGACATTGGCGCGAAGACGGTACTGTAGCCGAGTTATAGGTAATGGACATTGTTCATGGCCAAAACGTTAATCTTTTGCATGAGTGCGACATCAACTGCGTGCTTTCTTAAAAAGCAGCAAAACACCACATTCCACACTGCCGCGCATATTGAGACACGCCATGACGAAGCTCATGACGTCCTTCTAACTGCTGTAGCCCAGATGGTGTAGTGCCGCTGGTAGAGGTGGAAGATATTAATAATCAACGCGGGGGATAATCTTATCGAATACGCCGTTCAGTTTAGCCAACTTCTCGCGATTAAGAGTAGGAATCATTTTGTGCATATGGCCTTTGTTGGTCATTACCTACTTAATCATTTCTGCCCCTATGTTCGCGGCCTCATTATCCTCGAATATATTGTCAGGGAGTTGCTCAAAGACTGCTATCAGCTCCTCAAGGGATAACGCTGTTTTCTTTGGTGTATATTCCTCCTGAGAAGATCGTCCTGCACATTGGGAACAGGGTGTGGGTGCATGGTGGGAATTGAGACCTTACTCTGGTTTACTTTTCCAGAGAAGGTGTCTATTATCGCCGGTGATATTGCTGCGTCTATAACAGGTATTGGTTGGGTGGTAGGTGGGTCACGGGAGAATATAAACTTATGGCAGGGATCTCCTGAGGATTGCCAAATGCTTCTAATGGAGTTGCGGAAGGGTCTGTAGAGGTGAGCGTTCGGGTAGTAGGAGGAAAAAGCGCTTACTCCTTCCGAGATGTAGGTTGACGAGTAGAGCGCTACTCCATGTCTCCCCTGGGCAACTGGCTCGTCGATGTTTTTTTACGATGGCACATGCTGAATTTCATGCCGTATGTGGTGTAAGAAGGCGTTGTGTGTGCTTCTCTCTTGGACCCAATGTCCAGTTCCCAGGGATCTGATGAAGCTTCATGCCCTTTTCATAAAAATGAAGTCCTCTCTATTGTCTGTGGTCCAGGAGTAACCGTCGAAATTCATCAACCCGGAGGCCAGGGAAACAACCCGGAAGTATGGTTGCAAGGTTGCAATGATATTCTTCTTCACCACATTGAGCAGGCTCCCTAATGACAATCGTTACTGCCTTTTATTTCTATAGAGGAAGCGTTGAGGATGAAATCGCCCTTGGTAAGCACCCTTCTTACTAGGCGCTTAGCCTTCATAATGCTCCCCAGTCCGACTAGAGTATGGCCGGACTTTCTTTAGGAGATGGTAGACGGATCCCTTCCTCAGTATCTCCTTCAAGTGTAGTGCACGGGATTGAAGTCTGAACAAATTTACATAGCATCACTGGTCGAATGGTGCTGTAGCCTTGTTAAGAGTCTTCTGCTGTCGGATGTTTCTGAAAAAGGCCACGGAATCCTTCATGGTCCGTCGTGGCTGTC